CATTTAGATTTTCTTTTTTTTTTTTTTTTTTCCTTCTGGTGGTTTTGGGTTTTGGGGTTTTTTTTTTGTTTGGTTGGTTTGATTTTTAGGGTTTTTTATTGTTTTGGCTTTTTTTGGGTTTTGTTTTGGTTTTGTTTTTTTGGTTTTTGTCCTGGAAAAATTGTGGTCTGATGAGCAGTGCTTCCTGGGAAATTAAAATGGCACTTAAAACCAAAATAAACCTTGCTCATATTTTATCATTTCTGCCTAACATTATGATTTAAAAATGAGAAATTAAATTGTCCAATGCTGCTGGATAAATTTCCCTTCAAGTAAGTCAACAAGATTCCCAGTCAAACTTGAATCTTAAACCTTGACTCAAACTTGAATCAAACTTAAAAACCTCAGGCTCCCATCTCTCAGGGCAGCTTGCTTGGCTTTTACAGGTCTGTCCAAGCTCCTCAGTCTCGGTCACCCTTGAGGAAGAAAGCTGTTTAATGAAGAGCTTCTGCTTGAGCAAGTAATGTCAGAGAGCAACAAGGGATGGGCTGCCCTGGAGGGAGGTGAGCCAGGAGCCACAGGTACCAGTGAGGCAGCAGGGCCAGTGGCCACACCAGGCAGGAGAAATCCTGTCAGGAGCCCAGGCAGCCCCAGGGGAGGCAGCCAGGGCCAGCTAACAGTCCAGGGACTGCCAGGTCAGTCCGGGCACAGGGCAGGTCCGAGCTGCAGCTAGAGAGCTCAGTCAGCAGGAAAGGTCAGGGTGCAAGACTGGGCTCTGCTACCGTGCAAAAATAGGCTCAGGCAAGGACCCAGCACAGCCACAGCATTGCTCAGGCAAGAACCACAGGCAAAGGTCTGAGCTTGGACACAGCAGAGGACCCAGGCAAGACTCCTACCTCTGTCTTCCACCTCTCCTACCTCTGTCTTCCACCTCTCCTCCCTCTGTCTTCCAACCTGGTTGTTTTCACAGTACCTCGTTCTGAGGTTACAGAGCAGCACCATGCCTGAGCTGGCCTTGAGTGCAGACAGTAAATCTCTCGGTGTAGGGAAAGAGGTTGCAAATCCAGTCGGTGTGCTCAGAGCCCTGGCAACATGGGCATCAAGAACCAAGTGTTTCTCTTGCTAGGAGTGTTTGCCATACCCACCATTAATTTCCAGTCACGGGACAGATCAAAAGTACTGGCAGTGTAGGTTCAGATTTTAATTCAGAAAATTGCCTATTGCTCTAATTCCCTCTACTCTAATAAAGTGCTGAAACACTGCAAGAAATTACCCAAAAGGGAAAGTACAGAAGTTACCATCCTTTCCTGTGTATCAGCTAAATCTCATAAAGCTTTCTGGATTGAGATGAGCTATGGAATAATGTCTGAAACAAAGCAACCTGGAGTAAATCCAGCAAATTCGTAGCCTCTACTCTAGGAAGATTAAAATACCAGTTAAGGCATTAAAACTAAAGAAAAATCTCTCTTCCTCAAAACAATGAGGTACATCAAAATTCCTCAACACTTCTTTTTCTCCTCTCCTAGAATGTTCACAATATTAAAAAACCCAAACATTTGTTGACTCAAAAATTTAGGTGTTAGTCTTCTTTTAAAGACATTTAACAATTGCTTTGGATCTTGCATAATTTGTGTAATTCATAAAAGGAATTTAAATGTAGAATTATAAATAACATTTTTTCCCAACACATCTCTTATTGTTTTTATTATTTCTTTAAAAATCTAATTTATCCAAGAATAAAATAAACCTAAACTAATCAACATTGTGTTTTTAATAGATGAGAAACAGAAATTAGGCAGTTTAGGCAAAGCACTTTTTAAGTTTTACTGGCATATCATTAAAATATAAAGTACACTCAACAGACATCATTATTCACAGATGATGTACCCATAAAAGCCTTACTTTTAGTATATACCACTATGTATAACATGCCAAGACAGACCTCTTAATTTTGTTTCCTGCTTTACCAATAGTAGAATCAACTGTGTACAAATACCTGCTAGTCTAGTTTCAGCAGGCTATGCTGTTGCATCCTGTAATGCATCTCCTGCAAATACAGCAAAGTCCTCACTCTGACCTGGCATTCTGGCCAGTACAATGCACCTACAAAACTAGGTATAGCTGCAGAAACCACATTTTGACTAGTTCTGTTTGTTATTTAAGGGTGCTTATTGTATTGATATTAAAACCTGATTTTCCCAATATACTGAAAAACATACTAGGAAATGGTGCCAGTAAAATGCAAATTATCTCTGTTGGTAAACATGTCCTAGCATAGGTACAGTTTTTTTGGTTTTTTTTTTTTTTGGGTTTTTTTTTGGTTTTTTTTTTTTTTTAACCAGTGATTACACCACCAACACACGGCTTAGTGTTGGTATGAAAGTACTCACTGATCTAGGTCATACCACGTAGCCAGAGCATCTGCTGGAGTGGTGTAGTTCTGGGATGTGATCTTTGAGTGGCACCAGAGAGAGCTGTATGGGAAGAGGATGCTACAAGTCAGGGCAGCAGGCACAGCTTGCTCTGGGATGTGTAAGATCCAGGCAGAATATTGAGGGGTAACAATCAAAAGGCAAGAATGGTATTTCATGGGAAGAATGGGGAATCTGGAAGCTCTGGTACAATTGAATATCTAGATAATGATCTTCAGAGGTCCCTTCCAACCCTAACAATTCTGTGTCTCTCTGATTCTGTGATCCAGCAGTACAAATAACAACAGGAAGATACTTAAACAGAACTTTCATCTGAATCTGTACTACTGGTGTGAAAAAAAACTGCACAACAAACCAAAAAACTCTTGGGATATCAGCTCATTTCCTACAGTAGCATCTCAGACACTGTTTACTTAGAATAAGTTTACTATTTTTATTACATTACAATTTTTATTACAAAGACTTGAGCAGTGTATCACACATATATTTGAAATATACATGTGCAATATCTTTTAACGGAAGGAAAGAGAAACTCTTATGAACTTATCCTGGTTTTTTAAGTTGACTGGGTTGTAGCTGGAAGCATGAACAGAAACATCATTCCCAGTCTTCCAATAGTCCAGAATCTTGATTAGCCTGCTGACATGTTGAGACAACAGAAGTTAGCTACTGTAGGAAGAAATCTGCAGAGGGTGGAAAACATGGCACTGAGAACCAGCACAGTCTTGAGGGAGGAAAGGTGGCAGAGCTCTAAATCCAGAAAAACTGACAGGTAGCACTAAACATCATGAAAGCTCTGAAAGCCTTTTCCTCCATGAGTGAAGAAAAATAAAAGGCAGGCAAGTAAATAATGATTAGATTGGGGCATGGGGGGTAGGGGGGGGTTGAAACAAAAAAACAAACAAAAAACCAAACAAACCAGAAAATTGACTTGAACAAAACATGGGCTGTGATTGTCAAAAATAATACTCTTAAGAGCACGCCTTACAAAGATAAAGCCATTAGCACAAATGGGGACAGGAGGTGCCTAACTCCACTTAACAATTTTGGAGCAAGATTTTACTCATATGCTAATTTTAATTTTTGTATAAGAGAGCAGAGGCCTGATCTTTAAGATCAAAATGTATTAAAAATTCTAGGCTATATGTGGATTTAAAAAGCAAACAAGATATGCCACAATACAAGTTAAGTGGAGATAAAAAGAGTTTTTCCTAAAGGCAAAAACAGCCAAAATGAGCATGGGTAAAATCTTTCATAGGCCTGTCTGTGTTGATGGTGAAAATACACAATTTAATATTCTAAATTTTCTGTAATAGATATGCTAAATGAGTATCTCAGCTAAGCAGCTGATTGACAAAGTCAGCCTGTTTTAGCCACATAAATATTCTAAGTTGAAGTTTGTGTGGCACAAGTTTGGGCAGATCACAGAAAAGTTGATCATCTTTATTCCTTAATTTAGCAGGTTGCTAAAAGTCCCTTGAAAGTAACACCATCCCTATTGAAAAAGATTATAGAGAAACAGAGTCAGGTTCAGTTTCATTGATGTCACATTCTGTTACTTAATAGCACAAAGTATAATTTGACAATTATAGCAATGAATCATTGGCAGTAACCTGAAGACATTTTTGATAGAAAACTCCCAACTAGAATACTTATAATGGAGGAAGCTGGAGGCAGAAGAAGAGATGAGAACACATATCAGAGATGACAAGTAAGTCTGATCTCCAACCAGAGACAGTCAAAGGAAAAAGGAAGGTGTGGCACCTTACCCAGCTCCCAGAAAGGTGTGAGACCAAACACATACAAATGAGATGCATGAGAATGCATCTCACTGAGAATAATGGCTTGCTGCAGAATTGAGGCAAGACCACCAAATCTCCTGATATAAAACAAGCTAACAAATGAATTTTCTGTATCAGTAGTGGCAGTGGTAAGTCAGCTAAGAATCACTGTCATTTCAAAGTTGTTAGACATCTAAGTAGACTCCATTTATAACATAAAGAATTTTAAATATTTATATATTTTTTTAATTTGTCCAGAAAGAAATTTGAAGCATTAACAACAGCTAAGGACTTCTCTATGGTCATTTACACCACCCCAACTGAAGGCTAGAAACTCCTTTCTCTGCCACAAGCTTTTTAGCAAGCAGATGTTTGAATGTATTCCAAGAATGTATTAATACCGTGGTTAAGGAAGGCTCAGTGGGTTTTGTATTTGCTTGAAATCAGATAGTTTTTCTCTAATAGGCAGAAGCATGGTAGCCTTTAATGGTGGCAAAAGAAATTATTATTTCCTTTGCTGCCTTGTCAAGCAAAGAATAAAATATGAGTTTGGTTTTGTTAATGCTTCCAAGTGTCCCAGCAAGTTACAATACATAAAGGGCTTTTTGTTGTCTCCTACTTAAAGGGACAAGTTTATGTTGTCTCTTTGATGCACTTCTGAAGCTATATATGAATATATTTCACTGCTTGAAACAGTACAATATGTAAACTCAAAATATGCAGGAGTTATTTGCAAGAATTCTCTATTCTGCTACAGTAAAATGCTACTATTTTAAATAAAATAAACAGCACACAGGCTTTCTTTTCATACAAATTATGTGCATATTTATTACTATTCCCTGACAGATGATGTAGTAAAAATGCTATATTGAACAATTAGAAGAAGAGCATATTGAGAAAATATGTTTACTTTTTAGGTTCAGATCTTGTCCTCCAAATACTTTAAATCAAATAATGAAGACATACACTTTTAATTAGTGCCTTAGATTCTGGTCTGTAAAGTAAAAAATATAACAAAAAATTAACTGCTCTAGGCTCATGCATGATTTTCCTGTAATACGAATAAAATAGCTTTCGTTGTGTTTGCTTGAATTAATATTTGAAATGCACATAATGCTAGTCCTCTTCAAAGCTGCCTAGAGATTCTGGTAAAGTCTTTATCCAACTATGTAACTTCCCTGAAGCATAGTCAAAAATCAGGAGGAAGGTCTTAAATCAGTTTAAGTATTTTTTACCCCAAACCTACCAATAATACAAATTGAAAAAAAAAATGGAAAAAGAAAAGGAAAAATAAACTGCCAGCTGTATTTGCAGGGAATGTAAAAGTGACTCATGAGAGATGCAGGACCCACTCCTACTGTCTAAGGCATACTGGACACAGTACAAGTGATGTACCAGCATATGAATGATGAGTCCTTCAGGAAACTCTCCCTGCTGACTGTGATGACCCCGAGCTGGAAATAGTGCTGCTCATTCACCATCACCACTAGGACTTTTCTAAGGCCACACATCCAAACACATTTAAAAGCCTGTGTACTCCAATGACAATATGAAATCTCTCAACAAGCCTCAAAATTCACTATTACTTTTAGACGAAAATCTTATATTCTGCAGAGCTGGGCACAAATTCAAGTACTAGACAAATATGGCCTTCAGCCATGGGAATTGCAACCTGGCACACATTATGAATCAGGAGAGTAACCTGTATTGATTTGTATTAATGCTGATCTTATATTCCTCAGCAAGTTTCAGGTGACATTTCCTCTCTCTTGATGAATTATAAGTTCATACTGCTTGTAGAGACAAGTCAGACAAACACAAAGAATTATCACTTTCAAATGAGAGGTTTCAAAACAGAAAGAACTAATGTTTTCTCAGGTTTTGAAGCATTTTAACCTTGTGGCCTGAAAGCTGCCAAGCTGGCTAGCCTGGATGCTAGAACCACTTACTTAATGGAGGAAGAGTAATACTGCAAGGCAGGCAGACAGGCTTCCTATGGTTGCAGACTCAACACAGTCCCAGGCTCCACCACCCCATCAATCTTCAAGGTCTCTGCAGAGACTGCCACACAACATCATTTAGCAGTGCCCCCAAACTGCAAGGAGAGAACGCACTGATTTCTCTCAGCCAGGTAACAGGGCCAGGGACACTCTGTAATCAGAGGCAAATAGACCTACCTCACTTTCAGACTGTCAGTTTCTAGGTTTGAAGGTTGATCAATGCTCTATAAAAGATGCAATCTCTCCTATTTGTCCCATCATACAATACCATTTCTTACTCTTCCATAAACCTTGATTATCTTTACCCATGGGCTTATTCCTGGAACTTATCACAGACCATGGGGTGAGCACACATGCATTTAGGTGCATGCAAGGGAGAATATATTTTCTGGTTTTGTTTATCATTGGCTGTATTCCCAGACTTGAAGCTTTCTGGAAGGTGACTGTGTGCATCTGCATCAATCAGGGTGCAGCAAGGACAGGGTAATCTGGGAGCTCTGAGTGCCAGCAGGGTAGTGGCAGGGGCAGTCTGGCACGACCCCAGCCAGGGGAGGAGGGCAGGACTTACAGCTTTCACAGCAGGCTGGTTCAGGTCACCAAGTTGTGCTGTGTCAGAGTGGGCCTCGAGCACAGGCAGAGCAATCCCTGAAAGGCAACATTGCGTGGTGAGGGACTCAAGGCCTTAACAGTCCTGACTTCGTTTCAGTTCTGTCCACTGGGAGTTGAGTTTGTGAAGGATAGGGCCTGCTGGTGGGACCTATAGTCAGAGAAGAAGCAGTGCTCCTTGACTTGGGTCCGTCATGTCTAACAGAGCTCTAAAGTTCAGGATCTCACAAGTGCAGTAATGTTGAAGAGAAGCTGATGCAGGTTAACATTCTGTAGTAGTTATATTGTGTTTAATGGTAATCAAACCAAAAATTCAGTGGCCATCTGTGTAACTACAGTAAAATTTTTCAGAATTCCATTAACACATGGGAATCCAGAAAGTTCACAGCCTGGCTCTTTCTAGCACTTCCTCACACTGGTCAGAAAATGTGAGTCAACATGTTTCTCCCAATATATATCAGTCTATTGCTGTTTAATTTATTTAACAATACTCTATCCTATTCTCATCATGTTACCTGATTTTTAAGCCATCTTTCCTTGTCCCTTCCTTATCTTCTCCTTGTCTTTAGGAAAAAAAAAAAAAAAAACAGTTGTAAATTAACAGCAGGATTTGAATGCAGAGAACTACCATCTAAAATATTTTCCTTTAATCAGAAAGGACATCTACATTGACAAGCCTGAAACAAGTCTTATAAAAGTCTGTATTGAGATAACAGAGGGAGAAAGAATTGCTGCAGGTTTACTTGTTCAAGAAAGTTATAGGGTATTTGTTTGCAGCAGCTTTATCCACCAGGGGGTGGATATGTACATGCATAAGGAACGTGCAATATAATTTTTTTTGTATTCAGTGCAGTCAACAAAGCTCTTTGTAAAAGAGCTACAAAACCAGATAGATTGCTAATGTGAGGGTACTCAGAGAAGTTACAAGCTACTGGAATTACCCTACCACCTTCTGTTCCTAACATTTTCCTTGGAGGATGTTTTGCAAAGCTCTTTGGAAGTGTGTAAAAATCCATCCCACCATGATGCCAGCATAACAAAAAAATAAATCCTTACACAGTTTACCTTAGTTCAAATATGGTATTTGGCATTAAATGATTTGTTTAAACTACTTCTAATGCTTTGATTGTTTCCTTCAAAAAATACCCCAGTCTAGAGCTTACCACTGGATTTCAAACACTCCCCAGAGTCAGAGGGATGGGAAAACAGAGACACTGGGTTCTCCCATAAGAGCCCAGTCCTCCTGCCTCTGTTGGGAAGGAGTAAGATTAGACACAGGCAAGTGAGACAAATATAAAACAGATTCACAAAAAGCCCTTTCATTATCATCATCCTGTGGTATACTTGCTGAGATGTGCCAGTGGCTGTGGGAGCTGCTGCTCAGGGCATGGGGAGCTGCATTTTGCTTCCTGGAGGAGCTCGTTCTGTCTCCTTGGGTCAGGGTCACCTGCACCTCACCAGGCACTGCTGAGAGCTGTGAGGACTTCCAGCTTGGCACTGGTGAACTGAGCAGGGCTGTGTTTTTTTCTGATTGTACCAAATTAAAAATTGGTAGGATTATGGAGCTGAAATTTATATATATTTCATTATTGATTTAATAAAATCTTCTATCAGAAAGCAGAAATTGTGGGCCATGCAACACTTAAACTGATAAATTTCTCAAATAGGAGCTGAGAAGGAAGAAGCAACTTTTAATTAATTACCAACTCTGAAAATTCTGTCCCCAGTTTTTCATTGTGGTGTATGTTTTAAGTCTATTTGTGGCTTCTACTGTAAGAAGTGCCTCAACAGAGTTCTCATGTGCCACAAATCTTAGAATGAAGCAAGCAATCTTTCTACAGTGTCATTATGGCAACTTAAGTGACAGTCATAAAATTTAAAATTAAAAATACTTTCCTTTATGTTCCAGTCATCATTATTATGACTCAAGTGTTGGAGAGAGTGAGGGAAAGAAGAGAAAATGGAAATCACTTCACTTTCCAAAATCATAGTTAATGAATTATAGTTAATAGTCATAGTTGGGCTCCGTGATCTTAAAGGTCTTTTCTACCTTTAACAATTCTATGATTCTAAGGCTTGTATTTCTTTTAATCAGTATTACTGTAACTTGGGCCAAGGTTATTTAAAACCTGTCTCTTGCCATTTGTCTGCATTTTGGTTTTGGATTACAACCTTTTGGGGTGGCACAGACTGACCAGAGTAAATGCTCCTGGAGGCACATGGGAGCTTTATTTGAATAGATTTTACTTGGTGAAATGGTTCTTCTAACAAGTATCCTGGGCGCCTCAGCTCTCCACATCAAGGAATCTGGTGTGACTGAGGGTTATAACCGAGTTATAACAGTTATTCAGTTATATGTGCAGTTAGTATTACAGGAGGCAGATTCTATCAAGCAGTGTACCAGTCAGCACAACACTTCTAAGGGCCATGCAGGCAGGTCCCAGGGATAGTTAAAGAACACTGCAGACCTGAGCCAGATCCTGCCTCCACTGAAAATGCAAGAGATCAAGCTAGAAATGGCTCCGGAATTCTGCACAGACCAAGAAGATTTGGATGCACAACAGATCTAAATTTCAGGATGAATTACCAAGAGTCCTAGTGGATTTTAGTACTCTGCCAGTAATATCATACACCACCACGCTATCTATTTACTGTGGAAATTACATTTTTTCCTGTTCTGTAGACTAAAATTATCCCTATTTGAAGCTGGATAGGAAGCAGAACTATAGTGATATGAAGCATTTTGTCTAAGGCCATGTTGTGTTCCTTTCACAGACATAAAAACATGAATTTATATTCCTTGGCTCTCAAGCTAGTTCTGGTTCCCATTCTTACTCTTAAATCTTAATCAAGTGATCAGTTTAAAATGTTTTTTACAGATTTCTCCTCCTGACACAATGATAAATGGTTGTAAGCATTTAAGCAGCTTGCTAACCTTCTGTTTTGAAACAGCAGTGGAATGTACTTGAAATAAAGGCCAGAATCAATTTTTGAAAGCTGAAATGAAGATATAGAAGGAGCTCACTCATCTGATAGAAGTACTTTTGTGGCCAGTTGTTAGGCAGCTCTGCTAAACTGGTTTCACAAAAGTATTTCATAGTGCACTCATGATGAGTAGTGCTGATGAATGGTTCATTTTGTGTAGAGCAAAGCACTTAATTCTCAGCTTAAAGGAAATCTTTGATCAGATTATTCACACAAGTGTTATTGGAGGCTTGTCATGATATGGCCAGAAAGTACCAAGCAAGGAGGGTAAGCACATATGCTCTGGTATCACTGAATCACTATCAGAATTTTCCCATTAATATACTGATAAAACAGCATCATTATGTTTAATTTAGGTAACTAATAAGAATTTATTTGCTATATTTTTTAGGAGGTTAAAAAAAATAGCACATTTCATTAACTGAATACACTTGACTTAGTGGGGTTCCTAAATAATTTTTTAAGTAAGGTTTTAAAAATCTTACAGCAAACAGACTTGTTCCATAATTGCCAAAAAAGACAGTATTAGTATGAAAATAGCTTTTAAAACTTACCCTATAATTCCATCAAATTTTTAGTTTTCTTGCACTTTTTTTTTTTTAAATTATGTTCACTTTTTATCACCCAAATTTACTTCCACAACAGAAAAGAAGCTGAAATTATCTATGAGGTCATCATCTAGGAAATTATCTAGGAGAAAACATAGATTATGAAAAAAGAGTAGAATATTTTTAAATGGTCTCTGAATATTGTCAGATGAGACAGAATAGATTTTTCAATGCTGAGATATGCAATCTACTGTAGTTGGAAGTGAAAAATTAAACTAATCATTTTTTCATAGGAGTCCAAACTGATTTACAACTTAAAATGAAGCATCACTGCAGGTTTCTCAATGGGCATTAGTGGTCAAAAGAGCAAACAAGTCACTAAAAGGGAAGAAAAGAATAGCAAATACACTGTGATGGATAAAAACCTGTCATCGATTGTATTGACACTACAGCATCAGCTGTATAGTCTTCGTAACTACATTTCAAAAAGGATATCACAAAAGTAGTTAGAGTGGTTTCAAAAATTGGTAAATCAAAAAAAACCCATGGGAATGGAATCAAGAGAATGGAAAAACCCTTGCATAGAGACCAGTTAAAAATACATGATATGTTTGCTTTAATGTGAAGATAAATAAGAATATGATAGATAAAAATAATATTATGAACTTACTTGAAGCTTTCTGTCTGCAGTACTTTTACAGGAAAGAACAAGGCAGCATTCAATTACATTAAAAAACAGGCATACAAAAGTAATGAGGCTCTACACTGGGCAGCTAACATAATCTTTGTATTCCTCCAGTGTGAGGAAAATGATGAAGGCTGACAAGTGGTAGTCAGAGTTGCTCCAAATAACAAACAGCCAGAGTTTTACCTATGGTCAAAGCTCTTTGGAAAGTATTTTTAGGTATTTAAAAAATCTCCATTAGATCAGGAAGAAATTTAAAGCATGTGCAGGGTGAGAATAGAAGACACAATGTTTCTCTCATATGCTGACTGCAGAGGTCTTATATATTCTTGCCAAACACCTTGTGCTGACTGCTGGCAGATAAAAAGAGTCCTCAGTCTGATTCAGCTGCCAAGTTCTTGATTTGTTCTGGGACACATCAAAATATTAATTTTTTACCTTACCCTTTCAGAAATGTAGTAATTGCTTTAACTGCACTGACAATCAATCATCATGATACAAAATCCTAAAGCAGCACGTGCCTGATGATGAATTTCAGACACTAATTTAGAAGGCTGGAATGCACCTTTAAGTCTGTTTGCAATGGCCTGCACTATGTGTCAGAAGAGCTGTAGAGCCTCCTCCCAGGCCACCTGCAAAGGCTGTATCTGCCCTGAGCCCTGTGGGCTGCATCCTCACCGTGTGGCTCTCTCTGACATGATGTGTTTTTCTTCAGCCTCCTGCAGTCATCAGCTCCAGAGCCTCTGCTCTGTCCTCCTGCAGGCCTCATAGTAGAGCAGGCCAAAGGATTATGAGAGGTTCTCCCAGCAAAGCAGGATGTCTTGTGCAGTAGGTATATTAAAGCCTCAAACAGGAGAGGACTCTGTAAAACTGTGCCACAGGGATGTGTCCTCTGGCTGTACCTGCTTGAATTTTTGAGGTATCTTTGCTCTTTTTCCACAGGGATATGGCTTTGTATTTGGGACAAGGGCAGGGTGCCGGGACAGTCTTCCTTTAAGTGAGGAGCAGGCTAGGTGTGGGTAGAAGGAAGTAGTTTGAAACCATTTGTGTTTCAGAAGTCTCCAACTAAAACACATCAGAATACAAATTGCTCAGCTTGTATTAGTATTTCCACACAAAGCAGTTATTGAAAAATAGATACACTTCATCCAGATACTATTATTCCTAACACAGTACTTAAATGGTGAGCAATCACCCAGTAACTGCTTTTGTTCTGGTACAATGACAGTCTGTGGTTTATATGCTGTTAGCTTTTCAAGCTAAACTGTGGACCTTATGCTAGGGTTAATTTTTACTAGCTCATGACTGCAAACTTTTCACAGCTTGGTTTACACTAGGATTTGAAAAGGTGTTAATAAATAGTGCATGTTAAACTGAAGCTTTCTCCAGCAGAGTGTCAGTAGGGTAAGCATAGCCACAGGGTACATAAGGATAACAGCTGCCAAGTGAACTGAAGGATTTTTCATGACGGGGTATCCCTTTCTCCCCATTCCCAGCCTGGCAAGATGGATATGATCTTGCTGCCAGTAAATGCCATTGCCCGAAACTCTTGCATGCCAGAAAGCTGACTATTTGCAACACTCAGTTTCCACACAGCATGTGCACAAGGAGGCCAGATTTCCAAACAGCAGTTTCCCTTACAGGTGAGGCTACATCACTCAGACTTCCAGAGAGTTACAAAATATCCATACCAGCCTTCTACCTGCCTGCCAGAACATGGTCTCCAGACTGCCTAGGGTTGATGGCTTGGCTTTTTTTAAATCGTGTCCTCAATTTTGCATAATGCTCTCCTGGACATCTAGCCCTTGGGTTAACTTTAAGGTATGGTAGATGTTGCACATTCTTCAGTGAATTGTCTGCTATTGTGAAGTCAGGAGGAATGCCCCAGGAGAAGACTGTGTCTTTGCTATGTGAATGCATGCAAAGGAATTGGAGTAAAATGACTTCTCCCCTGGGAAATCTGTCACAGAAAAGAACTTCGACATGTAATGACACTTACAAGGGTCCACCAAAGTGAATGACTGTGGGACAGTCCCACTGTGCCTTCCAGAGCCCTGGGCAGCTGGGTAGCATGTGGGCTACAGCTGTTGCTCATCCCTGTGGCATGTTTCCCTCCTGGCATGTTCACACATTGCTGTGTGCAGTTTTCTTTGGAAGTGCGTGACTCTGCTTGTTTATGTTTAATTAGTGTATTCCTCATTCATCATCAGTTGCAAAAGGGAGTGGACCCCTGCACCTTGCCCTGCTGGCCCATTAGCACGGGAGGCAGGAAGGCAGCACATGTAGGAGTCCAGGGTTATGTGGGAGGACAGGGCAGCATGGGCTGTGCTTCACCAAAGCCGGGTGCTCCACCAAGGCCAACCTTGTGGTGGGGCACCAGGCACCCTTGTAGCAGTGACAAATAGAAATCAATCAAGAAGTCAATCATTTCTGTCCCCCCACAGCTGCCTGATGAGCCACAGCCTGCTCTCCCCATGGTTATGGCATCAAAAGACAAAGAATTCAAAAGGTCCATTAAACAGATTTTTCTCTGAGTACATCCCAGTCTAGAAGCCTGAAGCATAATAGGGTGGCAAGTCA